ATATTAAATATATGGTTTATGAACTAATAGAAGCAGGATATTAAATATACGGTTTATGAACTAAAAGAAGCAGGATATTAAATATACAACATGTCGCTATGAGGATTAAATAAAAGCACCAAACACTGAAATCAATATCTTTATTATTTTGTTACCAGAAACACAAGTCGTCACGAGATGAAGAATAAAGGAAGTCTTACCTGCAGTCACAACTACTCTATCAGGACGTACATGAACACGTTTAGAAATACCGTCCAGAAGTGAGTTTAAAGAGACAGCAGGAGTTTACAGGGTGGAGAAAGAGAAACAGGCATTTAAAGCATTTAAAGACAGGAATCCTGAAAATCCTCGCGTTGAAACTAAAATCGAGCTTTATGACCCAGAAACAGGGAGGGGGCGGGGCCTCAGCTCTTCTCGGTAAGCTCCGCCTCCCAGCGCTCCAGGAAGTCCTGCAGGTTGAGGTTGAACACGTCGATGCCTTTGGGCGACAGATGCACCCCGTCGGCGCGGTACAGCCCGGTGTTGGCGCCGCAGCGGATGTTTTCGTGCGTCAACGAGGCGCCGCCCAGCTCCGACACGATGCTGTGGATCCGCCTATTAACGGTACATCGGACCAGGTCCACCTCCTGGCTGTCGGCCGAGTGACGCCACACCCTGCGGGGTAAGATATAGGACCAGACCAGCAGGCAGGAGGGGAAGATGCTCCTCATGGAGGTCAGGTCCTTCCTCACGGAGGCCAGCAGGTCCGTGGGGGCGTCGGTGCTCAGGTCGTTGCCCCCCAGGTGCATGATGAGCACGTCAGGGTTCGGCCAGGTAACTTTCAGCTGGTGCAGCATGGGCAGAAGTTGGGCCCAGGTCATGCCCTGCGTCCCCTTCCAGCCCACCGTCACCCGGCTGGGGTCCATGCCCAGCTGCATGCCCACCTCAGGGGACTTGGCCCGGGACTCGGCCCAGTAAACCAGAGAGTGTCCGCAGATCCACACGTTCTTCGGGTCGCTCTTCGGGTCGCCCTTCGGGTCCATGCTGGGGCGGCCTGAGGGGGCAAAACATCACACTGTGAGTCTCTGAGGAGGGTAGGGGGGTTTACAGCTGACCCATGATAAAGACTAATGCAGGGGCCACAAACAGCCACATGTGATCTGAAGAGAGCAGAGAACCACAGCATAATGACGGCTTCCTGTTTCAGTGCTAAAGGTGCACTCTGATCACACGGAATGAACTCTCTGTTTACAAAACATTAAGAACCTGAACTTTCGTAAGAAAAAAATTGCAATTTCATGGCTCAGTTTATGATGTTCACCTGTGCATCACAACAGATCAGAGTCTCTAAGAGGTCGGCTGTGTCTGCTCCTGGACAATGTAGTGTTTTACATCAAACGGCAAGATATAGAAAATATTCTATTTTCAAATCTGTGTAGAAACCCTGAGGCAGCGAAGAGACATCCCGTGGTTGGGATTGGACCCCCGGTGCCTTCAGGCCGGCCTCAAAGAGATCCCTACTCTGCTCTGATTGGTCAACCAGCATACAGATGTCCCGCCCCCTTAGCCTATAATGTGTTGGAGCGCTAGCCAATAGGACCGCGAGACATTTGTCTTTAATAACTATTTCATTTAGTTTTGTTCACAGAAATGAATAGCTGTGAGATTTATATGTAAAAACAACAAGTGTTAAAAATAAGACCCGGGGTCGGGCTGATCTGCTGTCCAGAATCTATCACACAGAGCAGTCAGATTTCTGTGAAACCAGCCTCAATATATTGACCAATGATTGAATATCTCTATGAACCTCTATGATGACAGAGGGATGCTTCTGGCTCACCTGATCAACCCTCACTGTATTAACCAAGTCAATGATTACTGCGTTAAGAGAGAAGCGTCCTACAGATCGTGTCTCTCTCTAAACTCCCGTCATGTTTGAGTGACTTCACAATTAATGAATATTATAAAAGCTAAAAGAAGATGAAATCACCTACCTTGACCGTCAACACACAACACTTTCTGCTTCAAAAGCTTCTGAGTCGTTTCAAAATAAAACCCGCTGAGCATCTGAAGAGCTGAACATCACGTCCCTAGCTAGTTCATATGAGAAAACACTGAATAAGCATTTTACGCTTCATATCAAGAACAATACTTTCATTATCTCAAACTCTTCTCTACCTCCTCCAGAAAGGAAAAGGAAGTGAATCTGAATAAAATAACTTGATTTTCAAAATAAAACAATAACAAGGCTCGACTGTAAGAAGGCCGTTAATGGCAGTAAAGAATGATGTGGATTTAACCTGAAACTCCTCCATAGTTAACATTGTAATAATACAAGTTGTTAATGGTTTCTGTTCCCTGCCAGGACGTCCTCCTTCAGCTGGAGCTAACAGAAGCTCTGCCACGCCTTCACCTGAGCGGCAGGTTAACGAGAAGACGACTCGGGGTGTAAATGCGCAGAAGTGAGCGGCGTGTCGGACGTTTGGGTGATGGAGTCAGAGGGCTCAATTAAAACAGAAGCAAGAATGACAGTCCTCAATGCTAGCAGGACCGCTAACAGCTGCTAGCATTGTTATACATTTCAGGTTTTATATTTCAAACAGGAACAGGGACGAAGCCTGTCCACTAAACACTCTTTGTTTTAGCATCACACGCTCACATAACAACCGGGGACCACAAATCCTCTCTACGTTAGCTAACATTAGCTTCAGAAAGGCTAGACAGAAGCCACAGATAAATAAAATGGGAATCGCAGTGCATTGTGGGACAGCACGGCCATCTAAAGTACCTGCAGCAGTAAATATCTACCAGCTGCTGTACATCCAAAACAATAAAGGACATGCAGAATGTATAAAACCTGCACACTGATTCAAAGTGGACCGACCTCTGTGACGGTGCGTCCACTCCCTCACAGCCATAATGTTACGTATAGAGTTACTTACCAGTTTGTTGACAGACTACCAGTAAGTCGTGCCCAAAATTGCCAAAGCTAACGATATCCAGCTGACCCTCAAATGTCAAAAGCTCCCTACATTAGCTTCCCGAGCTAACGTAGAGGCTCGCACTGAAAGGAAAGGGGGGTTCATACGGTGCTGCTTCACAGTTAATGAGACTAAGCATACGCTGATTGAAAAGTAAATAAATGAAGCTCAGACAAGAGGTGCAACGTCTAGAGAACCTTAAGGATAATTGGGTAATTACCGTAACATTATATATCCATGAGCTCTGAGCTAAATGCTCTACGTTAGCTTCCTGAGCTAACCTGGACAGGCTAGGTCAGGGTAATACATGAGGACGTTAGCTGTTATTTGGGCTAAACTTTCACAACCACAAGTCTAACTTGGACACAAAGCTACCTGACATTCTTTAGCATATTCTTAACAACACAAGCATTTACTGTCGCAGATATAATAATCTCAAATCTAACTGACAACACTTGTTAGCAACCTCCTTCAGTAAATCCCGCTGTGGGGTATTTACTGAAGGATTTTAGTTGGAGGAACAAAACGTTGAAATCTCTTCAGCTTGTGTTAACCACAGATAAATTCTAAAACCTTTCCGGGTATTCAGACTCATTCCTGCAGCTCTTTACAGCCGATACACCTTACCGGATAATGGTGAGTGAATCAGCCAATCCTTGGACAGGGATTCAGGGGGCTGGACTTGAGCCCAAAACAATGCAGTAATTAAACATCCAGATATCCAAATAACTCATTTTAACATTTAAAATACTAGCTTCATATTCAGGCTATACTAGGCGTTGTAACATGGACCAGTAGACCTTCTGGGTCTTCTGGTAAAACCTCACTTTCACGCAAACAGAGCTGAGCAAACTTGACTTACCCTGAACAGCTTTACTATGTCTCGCCTCAAAGCACAATCAATATCCTTTACAGTGGATGAGTGGCGCACGACTCTGTAAATAATACAACATTAAACATCTAGAAAACTGAACTCACTAGCAGCAAGGAACCACCGTTTAATCAGATCAGTGAGCAACGGCTCCAGGACAGGTGAGGCCTGGAAGTAATGCTTACAAATCCATTAGCTATAGCATTTTGAGCTAGCTAAATTAAGTGTTGAGTATCAAAAAAATATCGAACATACTTATAATTACATCTCTATCTTAACCTCTGATGATCTGACTGTACTGGGATGTAGATACCTGGTGATATGTGGAGAGGAACAGGTGTTACTTGTGGAGCTGGGATGGCAGTTTGTTGGCTTCTTCTCTTGATCGTTGGCGGAACCACCTGTTACCGAGTGCAGCGGAGAACGGCCGTTTGCTGTGTCTCAATCTGCCCTCATCGTTTATACACTGGCTGTTTTGAATGCATAACACATCTAACACTGGGATGGTTTGCAGGTTACTTTGAGAACACCCACGGTGCTCAATGGACGCCAGCTAGACTTAACTCTGGATTCAGCTTTTAGCACATTTTACAACTTTGAAATTGCAGTTACCGTCTTCTCTGAAATCTGTGAATCATCCCGTGTTTGGACCCTCTGGACCCTGAGGCTATGATTGGTCAACTGCTTACAGATGTCCCGCCCCTTAGCCTATCAAGTACAATGTGTTGGAGCGCTAGCCAATAGGAGCGCAAGACATTTGTCGTAATAACTATTTCATTTGGCTTTTAGCTAGGGCTGCTCAATTAAACGTATTTTAATCGCGATTACGATTATGGCTTGCAACGATTACGAAAACAACGTAATCGAAATAAAACGATATTTTTAAAAAAATATATATATATATTTTTTTCAGTCGAATTATACTTAAAGTTCAGGGTAATCAACTGTTAAAAACATACTGTTCAACTTTTTTTTCTCCAATAAATGGATGTTTTCAAAGTCAATGAATAATCACATTTAATAATCGCAATTACAATTATTGACCCAAATAATCGAGATTATGATTTTTGCCATAATCGAGCAGCCCTACTTTTAGCACATGTTACAACTTCTACACCCTAATGATTACCCGCTGATTTACAGACGTCTCTTTCCCCGATGTAAGTCAATGGAAAAAGTATATTTGGGCCCGTTTGTCCACTACCAAAATGTGCATCAACGTCTGGCTCACTTCCTGTGGGCTTGAGAGACCAGGAAGCTAACTATAGCAGCAGACACTACCTACAGTAACTGCTCAATGCAAAGTGGGATTCAAGACATAGCCATATGCAAGTAGGTACATAGTGTATAGTAAACGGTAGTTATCAGAACTGAAACACAGCAATTGTTTTTCTCTGCTCCCGCGTTGGTCTTCTCTCGCGCCACAACCTGCGTTCTTGCGGTTTTTATTTTATTAGCATCGCATGGCGTGGATATGTGTTCCCTTACGTCACATTCGGCCCAGGCAGCAAATCAAACACTTCCTTCCTGTTTGGATACAGGCCGATTTGGTAGAACTTCAGAATCCAGACTGATATCGGGGCGCCAGTTGCTCAGTATGGGGGGATTTGACTTAAAGGTGACCTATCATGCTATATTTGAACAATATATTGTAGGGCCATACCTATATAAAGTATATAAATATAGTTTGTTTCTCAAAACACCAAACAGATCCTGCATTTTAGCCATGCCTCATTTAGCTCTATATGCTCTTTCCAGTGCTGTTTTTGCAGGGGGCTGATTCTATGACGTAGCTTTAATGCAAATGAGCTGCAGCTGACCACGCCCCCCTGCAGGAGAGGGGAGCGTGCTCTGAGATCAGCTGCTGGGCTGCAGCGGGGAGAAGAGGGGGAGAAAAAGAGATCTGCGTCCTCCGTGTTTTATTCTTATAGAAGTAAGAAGAGAAGTAACGGAGCAGAAACCCTCCTTTCTACGCAGCGGTCCAGACACAGACATCAGAAGGTTGTTGTTTTCAAATCAAAAAGCTCCGCAAAAACGCTATCAAAGCAGTTCCTGTTCCGTTGCTACGTTAGTTCAAACGGTAACAACGGACTATTTTTCTTAGCGGATGCATGACCTTTGAAATCAATACAACTATTTTCTAAATCCATAAAAGCATTTCAATTAATATTGGGAGTCATGTCGTGACTTTGTTGAGAATGTGTGATGAGCGGGATAATGTGCAGCGACTCGGTCATTATGAAGAAGTCCTTCAGGCCGATCGAGATCCCTCCGCTTGGCGTCCGGCTCCTGATCAGCCTGTGTTCTTTTCCCCAGAATGACCGCTTCGCTGCACATTATCCCTTACATGTGATTAGAGTCATTATTCATTTGTTTTAAAGCAGGAGGAGCCAACGCTTGCCTCGGGGAGGGAGACAAAGAGCCACAGCGGAGAATAAGCAGAAGGGTAACCATGGCAACCATGCAAGGGAAGTCTTCTTCGCTGCTCTTGTGGCAGACTACAGCGCCACTTACAGGCCTGGCATATGTACTACAGGGTCTCCAGCGCTTTTGAGCGGCAATGGCCGGCCGTGGCCCAACCTCTCATTCCCCTGATAGGTGGAGAGTTGACCAAAAGCCGTAGCGCCACTTTACTGACGTCAGGACAGTGTTCAAATCTGGTTCAGTCTGGATCAGATCCGTTACAGCCCCTTTTCTAGAGATTTGGGTATGGAGGAAAAGAGAGAGGGTTGTGTTTTCTGACACTTGGTGAGTTCCCTGACACACCGGGGACACATATTCATGTAGAAAAGGCGTACGAAAGTGCATTTTGCATGATAGGTCCCCTTTAAGGACTAGAGTTTCCGGACGGACCTTTCAACAACATGCCTGGTAACGGTCCCTACAAGGTCTAGGTAACTTATAGACGGGGTTGAGGCTCCGTGTAGCGGCACTAAGCGTGGAGCTCTCTTACTACGTCATTCTGGTGGTGCTACAGGGAGAGCACGGTAGATGCTAGGAAAAATTGACACAAGAAAAGCCATATTGACTTCTATCAAAAAGACTAAATCCCTGGCTACCTCGGGGGAGTCTACGGTACCAGAAAGACAAGCCGGACTGAGGAGCAAACATCGCATTAGACCTGTCTTTAACACAGGGGTAAACGAAGACTTGTTTTATCTTATGTACACCTTAGTTAGATCAAGGTTAGCTTATTAACATTTTACCAATGACTCTGCTTTTCTGACCAAGAAGCCGCTTTTCTGTGCACTCTTTCTTGTGGGCGATCCAGTCCTTGTAGTTCTGATCCCGCTTCTCCAAAAGCCTCTTGTTATACGAATCCAGCTGCAACACAAACAAACAACTTTTAGAGTGGTAGCTTATGTCGCGGAAACACGGTTGTCTTGCATCATTTTGAAGGTTTCTATATTTAAAAAGTCCATAAACGAATCGCTGCAAGAAGCTCAAAACGCAACAGAGACCAGGGGACACTAAAGAGTGACGCATACAGCTGAGAGACCAGGGGACACTAAAGAGTGACACACACAGCTGGGAGACCAGGGGACACTAAAGAGTGACACACACAGCTGGGAGACCAGGGG